TGTCCACCAAGATCTCTATCTTGGACCCTGAGACAGGGAAGGATATGTCCCCTTACGAGGCCTACAAGAGAGGAATTATAGACAGAGGTCAGTACATCCAGCTGCAAGAGCTGGAGTGTGACTGGGAGGAAATCACCACCCTAGGCCCAAACGGGGAAGTCTCATTGCTCCTTGACAAGAAAAGCGGGAAGCAGTACTCCATTGATGATGCGCTACGGCTGAGGAGGATCACAAAGGAGGAATATCAGCTGTACCGGGATGGCAAGATTCCCATCTCTGAATTTGCCTTGCTGGTGGCTGGGGAATCCAAGCCTCCCCCATCCCTCTCTATTGGTTCCATCATTTCCAAATCCCCAGTCTCGTCACCCACCACTCACCAAACCCAAAGCTTCTTCCCCCCAGCCTCACAGAAGGGCTTCTGTGATGATACATCCCCCATTGCTGGGGTGTATGACACCACCACCGACACCAAGTACAACATCAAGACTGCTGTTGTAAAGAAGCTGCTTGATCCCATGACGGCTCAGAAGCTCCTGGAAGCCCAGGCTGCCACGGGGGGCATCATAGACCTCATTTCTCGGGACCGGTTCTCAGTCCATAAGGCAGTTGAGAGGGGGCTGATTGACAGGACCTACATGCAGAGACTGCTCAATGCCCAGAAAGCTTTCACAGGGATTGAGGACCCGGTAACCAAGCGAAGGCTGTCTGTGGGGGAAGCAGTTCAGAAGGGATGGATAACCAAGGAGAGTGCTTTCCCCTATCTGGAGGTCCAGCATCTAACTGGAGGGCTCATTGATCCCAAGAAAACCGGTCGTATCCCCGTGCTGGAAGCTGTCCAGACAGGGATGATAACAGGCAACCTGGCCAACAGGCTCCAGGATGAGTCCAGCTATGAAAAGGATCTCATTGACCCTATCACTAAAGAGAAGATAAATTACAAGGAGGCCATGGCCCTGTGCCAGAAGGATTCTCTGAGCAGCTTCCTGCTGCTCCCAGCCACCTCAGAGGGTTATCAGCGGTACCACCAGGCGAGCCGTTCCCCCAAGCTCTCACGGTTCAGGCACTGAATGGATTCAGGCACATACTGGATCTGGTTCCTTCAGGAGTTCTTCCCTTCAAAACACCTCTCCCCTTGGAGGCAGCAGCGATCACAGGAACAGAGCATCTAGCATTTAGGGCTGCACACTCCTCTATCTTAGCTATCTGCTTCCCAATGCAGCTTGGCCGTGCAAGGAAGAAAGTGTGATCGTGAGTGTGCAAAAGGGGTCTCCACAGCCCCCCGGGCGCTGCTGCGACAGCAAAGGGGGGTTGATTGTGAGAACTCCACTGGTAGTGGGTTAAATGTGTTCATGGCCAGAAAGGAGGAAGAGCCAGAGCATTTTCTAGTTGGGTCATTCTTCTGCATGCAATAAACATAGGAAGTGTGTCTCTGTGGCTGTGTTGTCCCTGCAGGCTGAGGTGCAAAGTGGCGGAGGACATGGCTCCACTGTGGAGTGTCTCCTGGCTTTGTGGGATGAGAAAAAGGAGTTTCTATTGACATGAGCTGCTTCTCCCCCTCTCCCGAGGGCTCTTTTAGCTGACATTGTTTGGGAACTCCAACACACCCAAAACAATCCATAAGGGTTTTCTCCCTCTCCTTTCCCCATCAGGGCAGCAGCAGCATAGCCTCTGTTTCCATATGGCCTAGCTGGGATTTGAAGTCTGGGCTCCAAGAAGAAATTGTTCTCATGCTGGCAAGCTCAGCATAGTCACAGGTCCCTTTCCCTTCCTGCTGGTAGGCAGTGGTAGTGCTCAACATTAACAGTCGAGTCCCGTATAGAAATGCCATTTCCAGTCCAAGATCTGCCTGGGCTCTGTCCATCCCCTGCAGGGTCTGTTTATTGTCAGGCCTATGGCTGGTATCTGTAGCCATCTCAGCTGCCGTGATCAACACAGGACAATTTGTTGGTTTACAATGGGGAAAACTGCTGCCCACACCCTAGAGCATCCATGCATTCCCAGCCAGTTTCCTCTTGGTAGAGCACTGCTGCGACACGGCACACTGCGTTCCCCTCCTGGCTGGTCTGGACCAGGGGACACATGAGGGGAGAAATTCTTGCCTGATCTCCTGCCAGGGCAAACGCAACAGCCCTTGGAGCACAGGAATACAGTCAGATGAGGATCACATCCCAGCACAACCAGTGTGAGTCCCAGCTCCTCAAAGCTGCTGGGAGCAGCCTTGCTCTGCTCCAGATTTCTCCCCTTAGCTGGCTGAACACTGGGAAGATCCAGCAGCAGCAGGGCTGTTGCCTTTCCGCAGTTCACCTCTGCCCAGCAGGTGAGTTTGCTTCAGCCTTCCCTTGCCCAGTTCCATGGGACTGCCCCTCTTGCCAAGGAGAACAGTGCTTGCTTTTAATGCACAAGGTTCACGTGGTGACTCTTTCCTGAAGTGCTGATTAAATGGTTCTGGGGAAATGCTCTGTAACTGAAGGACTTGGTGTCCTGGTAATTAGGCACTCAGTTAATTAGTGTGGATAAAGTGTTCCCCTGCTGTGAGGTGGGAGGTGTTCACCCAGGGCTGGTTGAAGGCATTAAGAGATGATCAGGTGCTTGAGTAGGCTCCCTTCAAGGCTGGTCTGCCTTTACTTTCTGAATAAAACCCCACTAAAAACCCTTTTCTTTGGTACCAAGTGGCCCTCACCTGCAGAAAGTAGCTGGTATCATGTATTCCTGATGTGTCTGTAGGAACACCACACAGCCATGGAGCTTCCCCAGAGCCCAGGTGGCTTGTGAGTTGCTCAGGAGCCAGGTAGTGCTTTTCCTCCCTTCCTGTGCAGAGGGTGATGTTGCTGCATCATGGCTTTCCCAGAGTGGGTGTTTCAACACAGCTGCTGTTGGGTTCCTTTTTTGGCAGTAGGGTTGGGTCACAAATATGTGAAATTCAGGGTGTTGCATCATCTTATTGGGCTAGATGAGCTGTAGTATTTTTATTTATGTTTCTGGTCTTGAAGAAGGCTGTATGGAGGCCTCAGAGCAGCTTCCAGTATCTGAAGGGAGCTATAAGGATGCTGGAGAGGGACTCTTCATCAGTGACTGTAGTGATAGGACAAGGGGTGATGGGTTCGAACTGAAGCAGGGGAAGCTCAGGTTAGATATAAGGCAGAAGTTCTTCCCTGTGAGGGGGGTGAGGCGCTGGAATGGCTTACCCAAAGAAGTGGTAAATGCTCTATCCCTGGCAGCGTTCAAGGCCATGTTTGACAGCCTTGGACAGCATGGTCTAGTGGAAGGTGTCCCTGCCTGTGGCAGGGGGTTAGAACTAGATGATCTTAAGGTCCTTTCTAACCTGAATCATTCTCTGATTGTATGTATGTCCTTGGTATTTACTTTTTAATGCAGATCTTAACAAATCAAAAAGCAATCTCTCCTGAAAACAGCTTGTCTGGTACAACACAAGATTTGCTTGCATAGAGCAAACAGTATTGTCTCTATGAAATGAGATAACCTAAAAAAACATATGCAAGGGTAGGGAAATGATTCCCATAACAGAACTCATCCACGTCTCACAAATGTGCCCCTGTGAGCTGGGTGTTGTCGCATAGAGGTTATGAGAGGCTGCAGGAGCACAGCTTCTCAATCTTCCTGCCACGCAGTTCTGGAGGCTGCTGCTGAGCCCAGCCCAGGGGCAGGTGAGTAACATGTCCCAGGGTTTCACTGTGGGGATCTGTCAGGAGTTGTCCCAGGGTTTCACTGTTGGGATGTGTCAGGAGTTGTCCTAGGGTTTTGTTGCTGGGATCTGTCAGGAGGTGTGGCTGCTGCAATAGGGATTCCAAAGGTCTTTTTGGTGCCAGGAATAAAGCAGAGCCACCCACTGCCTTGTGTTGGGTGGGGAAGAGGAATGAATGATGGAGGATGTTAAAGAACATAAAAAGGACATGGAACTGTTGGAACAAGTCTAGAGGAAGGCCACGAGGATGATCAGAGGCTGGAGCACCTCCTGTATGAAGACAGGCTGAGAAAGTTGGGGCTGTTCAGCCTGGAGAAGAGAAGGCTGCATAGAGACCTCATAGCAGCCTTCCAGTATCTTAAGAGGGGCTATAGGGATGCTGGGGAGGGACTCTTCATTAGGGACTGTAGTGATAGGACAAGGGGTAATGGGTTAAAACTTAAACAGGGGAAGTTTAGATTGGACATAAGGAAGATGTTCTTTACTGTGAGGGAGGTGAGGCACTGGAAAGGGCTGCCCAGGGAAGTTGTGAATGCTCCATCCCTGATGGTGTTCAAGGTCAGGTTGGACAGAGCCTTGGGTGACATGGTTTAGTGTGAGGTGTCCCTGCCCATGGCAGGGGGGTTGGAACTTGATGATCTTGAGGTCCTTTCCAACCCTAACTATTCTATGATTCTATGATGTCAAAGGACAGCTGAACTTGGCTTTAGACAGGTAGGTCTTGTATTGAGAGGGCTTTCCAGGAGGCATTCTAAAGCCTTCCCTCCACTGTGCAAGTTCTCTGATATGTGGTATATGCAGAAGGAGAGTGTTGCTACAGCTCTGTGTGCTCTGTGTGCCCCTCTCCTTTACTGCAGTGTTTATCTGTCATGAAAGTCTATGAACATGATGGCTTTTGGGATAGCACTTTTATGCTGAGGATCACAGTCATTAGGAGGGCATGTGTGTGAGTGCACGGAAAGCAGAAGCACAGAAGTTTGTCTTTCTTATGTTAAAAATCTGTGTTTTGGGTATTTAAATGTAGAACATAACTGAACTGGTTTGTGGGAACCTCTGATGGAAAGCAAGCCCATCTTACCATCGAGACTGCACTGGCCTGCAAAACCATCAGTCCCATGTCCACAGTGGAAGTGAGAGCACATCTTTGCACCTGCCAAGGGTTTGGGCTGGAAAGGATAAAAGAAAGAGTATAGGAGATAAGAAAAGGACAAGAGCCCTGTGGGAAAAAAAGGATGAGCCAGACTGGGCTGCCTCGTTAGCTGATGGGCTGCCCCAACCAAAGAACAAATGCCAAGGCTTCTGAACAAATGACAAGCCTTTATTTCTCTTCTGTACTGAAAAGAAAAAGATGTAAAAAACACACCAAAAGTTAGGGACAATTCTTGAATCATTTGAACAACAACATTTTCAAGATAATAAAGTGAAGGAAACAGCATTATGTCTGGACCAATGGTGGACAACCAGTGCTCTAGCTGTTTCCAGCCGTATACATTAAGTGCTTTATGTTAACTGGATCTTTCGGATTCTTGGTCCCAGCTAAGGTACAAATTAAGACATCATATAGTGCATTTCAGCTTGTGAAAGAGCAGAATGCCAGCTCTGTTAAACAGCTCAGATTAAACAACTTGTCTAGTGCTGACAAGCCAAGGCTTTGGTAACAGCAGCGGAGCAGAGAAGTGCTCCCCTGCCCGCAGTGGAGCGCCGGCACACCCTGCTGTCAGAAACTGCCACCGGCGCACCTGGGGATGTGCCGGTGCTGGGAATGCGGGGATGACTCCAGTGCTGGCAGACATCACTGTGTCACCTTAGCTCACCAACGCAAGGACAAACCTCTGAAAGATGATCTCTCACATTTCAGTGTTTTACGCTGATAAATACCCCCCTACTTTTGCACGTGACCCATTTAAAAGGGTTCTATGGGCTGTAACTCAAACTTTCCCCCAGGAAAACAGGCTGAGAGTCTCTAAATGCAAGAATGTCCCCTCCAGGCTCCTCAGGAGAAGGGATCCCAACTGTATTTTCTCATCTGCAGTGTTTCTGCAGCACACGTTGCTCTTCAGGCTTCCGAGGGCTTCTCTGGAAGAAGTACTGGTGACTGAGGGCTGCCTTGGCTGAGATGCGCTTGCTGGGGTCATACAGGAGCAATTGCTACCAAGAGGAAACCCAGAAGAATTAGCAATTTAAAAACAAAATGATGGAATGTACCTGCATGTGGTGGTCCTAGATGCAGATGTTGCTCCTGCTTTTCCTCCTTTCCAGGCTTTGGGGGTAACCCACAGCTGGAGTTACCATGGGAATTATGTTAGAAGGGTTTCTTGACCCTCAATGCAGTGGTTTCCTAGAGGAGCCTGCAATGACAGTCCTGCTTTAGAGCCAGGACTTAGCACTGTTTGATGATTTGTTGTTTCTGCAGGGGCAGAGATGAGCATTAGAGCCAGGTCAGCTAATGCACATCCAGGTAGATCAGTCCCAAATGTCCCTGTTCTTTTCCCAGTTTCAAAAGGTCCTGCATGTCCCAGGGTCTTGTTCTGATGATTCTGTGGTCAGAACAGAGTCCCTAAAAATAGTGCACTTGTTACTCACCACCAGTAAGTCTCTACCATCTCGATTTAAGCTGGGAACAATTTCTGTCATCTCCTTCCTTGCCCACTGGGGAAAGTTCTCCTTGTAGTCAGGCAGCTGGGTCACTCCAGGCCAGGTCTCCTCAGTGGGAGTGCCCAGAGTGCGAAAGATCCGGAAGAGCTGATCGATCTCAGAGTCCCCTGGAAACAGGGCCTTCCTGGTCAGCTGTGGGGGAAAGATAATTCCCACCTTTCTATCAGTTCTATTTCCTGCTGTAAGCAACCCTATGTCCCAGCAGATGCAAACAACTGCACAGACAGGTCAGTGGTTGGGAAAGTCACAGGTGTGGCTGCTTGTCTCCAGCACCTCTCCATGGATCCATGTTCCCCTGAGGCTGCCTCCCTTTCAGCCAGTTCCTTGTCCTTCTTTGTCTCCAGTTTCCTAACACCTGTTCTTGCAGGTTAGCTCCTTCCCCTCTTACTTGCCCAGGATCTGCTGCTTGGCAGCTCCAGAGGCTTCGTGAGCTAGGGATAGTGCTATTACACTGCAGGGATAACAAAAGCCCTTCAAAGTGGTGTATGGATCCCAAAGAAATCCACTCTGCCATGCTATGAGAGTGTTAGCTCTCTGCAGCCTATTATGGGGACATCTGCAAGAGGCATCTCCTCCCAGGGTCAAAATGCTGCAGCAAAAACATTGAAGTTGCCCCTTCTGCAAGGGGAGGCACCAAAATTCCCACCTACCTGGAACTGCAGCCAGGCAACAGAGACTTGGCCTTCTGCCAGGCACATGAGGGTGGCAGATTTCCTTCTGAACCCACAGTTAAAGATCAGCTAACCCTCACAGAATCATAGAAAAGCTTGAGTTTTAAAGGACATTAAGATCATCTTTAGTGTACTTCCCATAAAATACACCCCAGCATAGGGTGGGACCACACTATCACAGATGCTCTGTGTCTTGCCCCTTCTTCCCCACTTCCCATTGCAGCTGCATCCTCCCTGCTCATTAAAAAGGCTATTTAAACCCATTCTACCATTTCTGCAAAGATGCAGCCGACGCTCCAGATATCCACAGGGGTTGAGTAATATTTGCATCCCAGCAGTATTTCAGGGGCTCGGTACCACAGAGTCACTACCTGGTAAGGAACAAAGAAACAAGTTTTGGCTGTTTCCCTGGATGAAAGCAGAGGTATGGAATCCTCTCTTCTCAGCTGTAATGCAGTGACTGTACAAATCAGAGCATGCCAAAGCCATGCTGAATTAACAAATACCTTAGTGACAGCATGACTGGGATTAACAGATCATCCTTCAACAGGAGCCTCTGCAACAAATAAATATACCCAATGCAGAGAAGGTGGGAACCCAGCTTGCAGCCAGTCTAGGGCAGAAGCAGTCGGCACACTGTGTGGGACATGAGGTAGCCCTGTAGCTGCAGATGATGTTAAGAGCATGTGCCTGGGCAGGCCTGTGCCACTGTTATGGATGAGTAACTTATGATGCTGCTTTTGTTCACGCACTATGGATTGTGTACCCCACTCTCAGGTAGCAGAGAGCCTCAACAGTACCTCATGAGTGTACGTGCGCAGGGGGACACCGAAAGCTCTTGCCAGCCCAAAATCAGCCAGCTTGATTACTCCTGCTTCGTTAATGAGCAAGTTCTGTGGCTTCAAGTCCCTGTGTATGACTCTGTGTGAGTGGCAGAAGTTCACACCCTGCAGCAGCTGGAAAAGGTAGTTCTATGGAGAGAAAAGATTTCAGACAAGGCCACTGTGAAACTACTTTGAAGGCTGGATCTCATTTATAGACCTGAAGGGGAAAACAGACCTTGTTATAATGCAACACTAGGCTGGCGGGCCACTACTCAGAGACCCACACAAACTGCTCCCACCCTATGTGGAGACAGAGAGATTCCAGTCAAGTGGCAGCTCCTTCCACACATCTATTGCTCTGTAACAAGGCAATTAGTAATAGATCCCCCAGTTGTCCTCTTAGGAGCAGTTTGTGCTGCAGTGAGATGGGCTGGAGAGCCTGGAAACAGCTGGGAAATGAAAGCACTGAGCAATAGTGTCATGAGGGTTTCCCAGCTGAATTGTCTGAGATCTGAGAGACTGAATGCCTCCAGCCAAGGATGAGTCTCTTCAGAAGAAGCCAGGGTATGAGCAGCTCAGTGATGGCTCTGCCCAGCAGAAGGCAGCAAGGACACATGCCTTCTGCCCTGCCTGTTAGCATTCCCTCCATGCTGTACCTTGACCAAGCTTAAAGGAAGCTCTCTGGTTTGGGATGAGTCCATGTATTTCTTCAGGTCTTGATTCAGATACTCAAACACCAGATAGAGCTTCTTCTGGCTGTGTATGACATCCAGGAGCCTGCAAAAGAAATGCAAGTGCTCCCTTTGGTACCTGAAAGGTCCTCCAGACCCAGAAATCCCTGCTCCCACAGACTGCTCTGCTCTGGGAGTCCTTTGGAGCAGAGAGAGGCAGACACAAAAGCAGAATCTAGCATAGGATAGCAGCGGCTTGGACCAGCCTGTGTTGCTGGAATGAAGTAGCAGTGCTGTGAGCTATTGCTGAGAACCAGGGAAGTGTAAATGGTTCCTGCATTTTCCTATTTGGCTCCTGTCCTGCAGTCAGGAAGGACAGGAAAACCTCTCTTGCTGAGGAGCAGGAGCTCATCGATGAGCTGCTGAGAGGGTACATCCAGGTCTTACCTTACTATGTTGGGGTGCTTCAGCTCCTTCAGCAGTGAGATTTCTCGGATTGCAGTGCTGGGGACACCCTCCGTGTCGCTGCGGCAGAGACAGGCTGCATAGCACCCATCCCCCAGGATCCCACAGCCTGTGTCCCCCTTTGTACCCCATCACCCTGTGTGGGGCAGCGTGTGTCACGCTGAGCACCCTGGCTCTGGGATGGAGCCGCGTGTGAGGCGGGGGGAAATGGAGCCGTGGGGAAGGAGAAGGAAGGGGTGGTCTCAGTGCAAACTCCGAGGCGGAGCAGGTTTTAGAGCACCTGAGGGCACACTTGGAGAAGCAACAGTGGCTGAGACGCCCGAGCCTTGAAGTTGTCTCTGAGGCAGACGGAGCCTTGCGGGCACCATGCCCCTGAGGAACAGGACACCTCCCAAAATGGTGGCTACTTCCCCTTGCCTTGCGCTGTGAAGCCAGAGCCACGCAGGGCCAGGTGAGGCCCTAGCTGCTTGCATGAGCTGGTTAAGAGACATTTCTTTCCCTCATGTCAGGCTTTTGTGAGCCTCCTGCCCCTTGCAGGGCTCAGGACCCTCCTGCTCACCCCCACGGCAGGCCTCGGGCCTTAGGCCCCAGAGGAGCCATTTGCCTTCCTCACCCCCCCCTCTCCTCAGCACCCTGTGCATGGCATTCCTGGGCTCTTCCCCACTCACGAGTCCAAGCGGATCTTCTTGAGGGCCACCAGCTGCCCCGTGCGCTTGTTGCGAGCCTTGTACACCACGCCATAGGTGCCCTCCCCGATCTTCTCCAGCTTCTGAAACACCTCCTGGCAGGGGTCCATGCCGCTGCCGCTGCCTCGCGATGGCCGCGGGGGGTGGCTGGCACTGCTTTCTGAGGAGCAAAAGGAAACGGGGGAAAACCTACAGCCAAATGTGTGTGGAAAGGGTCTGCTCTTCCCCTGAGCTGCTCTTGGGGTCTGGGTCCCCTCTTGCTGCTCCCCCAGCGCAGGGACCTGCCTTTGGCTGAGGCAGCAGCAGGCAGACAGAGCCTGCTGGGGCTCTGGGGGGTGTTTGGGGGTCACCCAAAAAAGCCCAACACACCGTGCAGCAACCAGTACTGGCTGCAGCGTGACCCACAGTGCGCTGGCTAGAGCAAAACCAGGGCAAAATGGAGGCAAAGGGTGCTTTGGGCCTGCGGCACGGGCACTGCACAGCGCCGAGGGAGGCTCTTCAGCCCTTTTACAGTGCCCGGCACCAAGGCGATGCAGCAAAGAATGGAGGTTCCCTGGGGATGCTCAGGTCAAACATACAGCAGAAGTGTCTTTTTTTCTTCATTTCTTGTTTCGTGTGTTTGTTCTCTCTTGCGAAATTGCCCCTTGAAGCTTCCCACTGTGGGCTGTGCCACTCAGCCGGCCTTTCGGGAGATGTCCTTGGTGGGGGTTAATCATTGACTTGATAGCTGGCAGGCAGCAAGATTAAAAACCCATTATAAATGGGCACGCAGACAGGGCCATTGGGCCCGTCCTCTGGAAAGCTTGGGGGTTCCATGTCTCTGGGTGGGCACAGCAGGACATGGGTGCATGGGTCCACAGTGCAGACCCCAACTTTAGGTGACCCCCAAAAGACTGCTTTAACCCATTGCTGAGCCAGCTTAACATCCTTGTGCAACTGATCCTGATTTCTGCCAATGTGAAAGAACCAAAGGGCAGTCGTTCTCTGGCTGCAGAGGGATCCACGTGGCTACGGCCAACTCCAGTGTGGGTTCCCCAGTGGCTTGTGAAGGTTGAATTTGTCCTCATATCTCCACTTGGAGTCACTGCTGAATCTGCTCTCTGCTTCATGGTTGGTTGATTTTCTGGTTGTTTTCTTGTAGGAATCTGGTATCTTGGCTGTTCCCAGCCCTGGCGTCGTGGCTATTCCCAACTCTCTGGCAAACCTGGCCATTTGGATAAAATTTAAGCATGAGGAGGAAGGTGGGAGAAGAGAGAGGAGATGAGGTGTAAACATAAACCCACCATGACAAGCTCATCACTGTCTCTTAAAGAACCAGGTTAAAAATCTTGGCTCTTGAGTTCATGTTTTTGGACTTGGGCAGAACAAAGTGTGCTGAGGCAGGGTTTTTGTATTTCTGTAACTGTGTGAATGAAAAACATAAGGCTAAACTAAGATTAAAGATTACAGAAAGCACTGTAATTACTGAGCTACCTCAGGCCCTTGAATCAAGCCTGCTGGTAACAGGGGACTTTGTCAATACCTGCTGTGTTTTGATCTGCTGCTGTGCATTGTACTGCTTCAGTCCCTATTTTCTGTACATTTCACCAGCAAAAAGCAGAAAAGGCTGAATTCTGCCTGCAAACCACAGTCCCAGCTACCTCCAGGTCCGGGCATTCCTGTAGCACAGGAGTCTCCTCTCTTGCACTAACTTATTCTCATCCCACATTAGTGATTTTTGGTCTTTTTGTTGATGGTTTAGTTCTGCCAGGTGGGCTTGGCACCATGTTCTTAAACCAGAGTGGCTCTGATGTAACTTCATCTCCTCTTCTTGCAATGTTTTCAAAGCCAAGCCCTTCTTTATACACCCAGTGCTGAGGAGGAGGCAAACTGCACATCGCCAAGTTTTCTTACACCATCCATCCAGCAAATCCAGGGGTTTCTGCAAGGCCTTTGTGTTATGCATTTGCCTTAGCAAGAAAGAGGGTTTCAATCAATAAGAGACGGGCTGCCTTCTTTTTAAATCTTTATTTAGGAATACATCAATCAAAAGCTTCAATAAAGTGATTTAAGGTCTCCTAAACTTAGTTGTGTCAAGGAAGAAAGTCAAGTTGTGATTCTCAGGGCATTGCAAATATGTTTCCTACAGTAAAAATCAGCCCCCCCCCCCCCCATACAGCAGCTCCTGAAAACCTGAAGAGGCAGTGCTGCTGGAAATAACTCTTTGTTTTTCTTGTTTCTTTGCTGGTCAGCCCAGATCCGTGAGTGTTTTGCCAGGAATGCTTCTGTATGGAAGCTGAGTCATGGTAACTAAACTGGACCTGCAGTCACCCAGGGCTCATGAACTTTGTGCTAATGCCCTTCACCCTTTATCTGCCAACAGCCCATAAGCTGCTGAGCTTTGAGAGTAAGTTGCTTAACTCCAGATTCAGAGACTTCCTCTGTTTCTGACCTCTCCAAGCCCTGCATTACAAAAGGACCAGTATAACTCAAGTGCTCCCTTTTCTTAACCTCCCTTTTTAAACAACCCAACCTGCTTCCCAGAGGTTATTTTCAGTGATGACACCTGCATGAACGCACAGCCCACAGGCACATACTGACTCACAGAGTCTTCAAGCATTTCCCTCATCGTGACTTTACTTTGCTATTTACCACAGCAAACCTCAGTATGTCGCAAACCCATCTTCTAAATTTACTTTTAACAGAGCTGTTGCAAATGGCAGTGCAAGGACCAGCATACGGCTGGCCTCAGAGCTGCTGTCAGGATGTGCTCTTTCCCACCTTCTTCTCCTGCCTCTCGCTGAAGTATTTCCTCTGCTCCTGTAAGGCTTGTTCCAGCAAGGGCATATTCAGCCCTTCCACGCAGGTCAATATTCGTGCCTTTACCACGGGACCCTCACCTGGGAAAAACAGGAAGTTTCTTTATAAAGAAAACCAGATGGACCAGCTTGGAGGCAAACAGAGAGGTCCCTACAGGCAGCATACTGCTCCAGCTGGCCAAATAATCATAGCCTGAGAACTTGCAGGAGACTGGACCAGCCACCAGCGTGAGCAGCAGGCCCAGGAGCAGGTTAATTTAGTTATGTGCTTTCCTTCTGTAGGCTACAAAATGCTGACACCGTGCTCTCCGTGCACTGGGGAACACTGAGCCTAGGACATGCAATGCCTACCATGCAGCATCTGTTTACTTCGTGACTGGATGAAGTTTGGATTTCCCTGTCTGAAAAGCACCAGGGATGGGTTCTAAGCTCATTTCTGAATGCCTCCATGCAGACGAGGACAGAACAAAGCTGGGCTTAGAACAGGCTCAATGTTGACTATAACTGACAGTTTGTTAGTAGCATTCAAATGGTAAGAGAGATGCACAAAAGAGGCCAAACCCTGGCAACACAGCCACCATCTCAGCCTGCTCCCCTTCCACCCCTGCAAAATGGGGACAACTCGCTCCTAAGCTGTGATAAACAAAGTAGTATGTCTTTCTAAAGGAACTCTGCAGCAGTGGCTTAGCTGGTTACTCACTCAATGCCATGTGCAGTGTGGTGTTCCACATGCCACTGAGGGTTTCAATGGTATGAATGCGAATGCTTGTTGCCAGGTGTGGGCAAGACAACACTTGGGATTTGCTTCCCAACCGCACAGCCCAGCCCAGATCAAGTCCCCAGGTAAAGAGCCATGCAGCTGGAATAATGCTCAGGGCACCCAGGAAAGGACGTAACAGGGTGCCCTGTTACACAACAGAGCCTGCTCCATTCCTCACGCCCCATGTTTTGAGGGCAGGGATATAATTAGAGCCTTTCAAGGATGGCAAAGATCAACCCCCAGCTCACAGTGAGGTATTGCTGCAATCAACCATGTTTGGAGTGAATATGATATGGTGGCTGGCAATGATGCCAGAAGGTTCCACTACAGCTTTCACCAACCCAGCGATGCTGCTGGGGTGCTTCTTTTTTAGAACAAAATCTGTGCCAGAGCATCAGATTTTCACCAAAATAATGGTGGTGGCTCTTCTCACGGTCAATGGGGAGAGACAGGCTGCTCCTGCCCTGAATCACATGCTTGTGTGACTAGAGGCTTGCCTTGGCCAACGCCAGCCTCAGTGACAGCATCTCACCGTGCACACAGGGAGCCATGAAGAAGCTGTTGAACAGCAAAGGGCACTGATGCCTGAAGCATTTACCTTCCCTATGTTCAGCCTCTCCCAGGACCATGTAGCGAGATCCCAGCTGGGCTTGGAATGGCTCCACAAACTTGGTGTCCACACAAACCTGGTACTGAGCTGAGCTGTGCTGAGCGGTGAGAACAGCTTCAGACCGGGCCAGGTCATAGCAGCATAACCTGGGAATGATTGATTTGGGAAGCTCAGCAGTGCAGAGATACAACAATTACAAAGGGATTGGGGTCAGCCAGTGAAAGAAAAGCCTGGCCTGCAAGGACAGCAGTGTACCCTTCTCACCTGCCAAACGTTCTCAGTGCCTCCCCTTCTGGGACTGAGCTGTTGATCTCCCATGGAAAGTAATAGACACCAGCACTTGGCAGCATCTCTGTAAGGCCTGCAGTAAAGTGAAAGATCTGAGTTCATGCCACCCCAGTACCTGACCTAGATACCTGGTGACACTGCCCCAAAACTCTGTCCTTCATCAGGGCCTCCCCACCCAGAGGACTGCAGGAGCTTCATAGCTTCTCTGCTGAGCCCTGCTGGCAGCTCAGTGCACATGCAAAGCCCCCAGCATCCCGGCATGAAGAGGGGCTACCTTCCCCTACCTTCCCCCTTCCCACAGTCCAGCATCAACAGCAACAGGCAGCCCACCAGATCCTCCAGATCTCCCTAGGCTATGGATGGGTTGAGAAAGGTTAAGTAAGTGGGAAAAATAGTGACTGAGAAGTTCAGAGAGTGTGAGGGACTGAGATGCAGGAGCAGACCCAGCTGCTGGGGTGATGGGGTACCACGCAGCAAGATTAGGATCCCAAGGCTGTTCTTATGCTGCAGAATAAGAAATTCTGGCAGCGTGTGATCCATACTTGGATACAAGCCCACCTGGCTTCACCAGGAGTCTAGGAGGCTTTAGAAGGCAGCAATGAGTTAGAATGATTCACACCAAGACAAGACTTAAGTGGGGCCTCCAGTATGGAGCACATACATGCTAGCCAGTGCCATAGCTAGGCTGTTGCTGTGCCCCAAAGCGGTTTCTTTTGGCACAATTTTTCCTCTGATCTCCCTTGCAGGTGGCCTGTGTTTGGCATGTTTCCATGCTCCATTTATTGTTTTACATCCTGTTTTTTGCCCCCTGGGGGGGACCCCCAAAAGCTGCACAACGGCCCAGGTATCCTGCAACGCAGACACAGGGGGCCACCCCAGCAGCTTCGAGGATCCCCCATACTGATTATGCAGCAGCAGCGACACAGTGAGCTGTAAGCCTGTGGCTTTAATGCCTGCTCAACCCATACATTGGTCAGGGGTTGCAATCTTACAAAATGCCCCACTGCCATCCTTGATGTGGGAAGCCACCGAGACCAGGGTGATCCTACTCACCCCGTCCCTGCACACCCCTGGGTGCCTGGTCTGGTTGCCCCGAGTCCCTGTGCAAGGCCACGAAACCCCTCTGTCAGGGTCCCAACCAGGAGTGATGGAGGTGGATCTCTTCCACGCAGTCTGCAGCTCCCTTCATCTCCACCTTACCTAACCCAGATTTAAAAAGCAGGTTCAGTTCTACACCTGCCTAACAGGGCAAAGGCTGTCCTACACTGCTCAAGCTGTGCAGCACGGTGGGATCAGCCAGGAGTGCAGGATGCTCAGTGCGCATTTAATGCTCTTTTTAACACATGCCCAACCTATGTGCCTACTCAGTGCACGATTTAATGCACATGTAACCTCATCTGCATGATGCTGCATGTGCATTTACCAGACACTTGGCCCCGAGTGAAGCACGTTACATGCAGATATATATACACCTAATGCAACACTTAATGCGTGACCAAGAGCAGCACGCGCTCTTAATGAACCACAAAACGCCTGGCTGCAGGTGGCTGTAGGTGCAGGATGTTACGTGCAGTCTCAATGCGCTATGCAACTGATCTTAAAGCTCTTTTCCAGCCTAGCCGATTCTGTGCAATGCCCAATTTCATGCCCGTCCGTCCAGCGCAGCTCTCTGCGCGCAGGTCACTAAGCCCCCGCTCCAAGACCTTTATCTATCCGTCCCCCGCCTGCAGCCCGCGGCCGGGCCCCTTTAAAGCGCGGTTGAACGCCCCGGCCCGCACTGACCCGCTCCCGCTGCTCGCCGCTCGCACCGCCTCTTCCCGCGGGAGCGAACGGTCACGTGGCCGGGCGTGACGTGCGTGAGGGCGTGGCTTGGTGGAGCGGAGGCCGGAGCCAGAGGGCGCCGGGGTTGGGGCCGTGCGGAGCCGCCGCCGTTGCTGTCCCCACGATGATGAACGCGGACCTGCGGAGGGAACGCGCCGCCGCCACCTTCCAGCCCGAGCTCCTCACGCACATCCTGGATGGCGGCCCCGACCGCACCCGCCGCCGGAAGGAGCTCGGTGGGGATGGCCCCGGCCCGGTGACCCCTTACCGCTGAGGGGAGGGCGTCCTATGGGGAGCGGGAGACAGCTCGAGAAGGGCTGTGAGGGGAGGAGAAGGTTTTAGGAGGGGGAATCGGGTGTGTGGGGAGGCGAGAGGCTGCGGAGGGAGAGGGAGGCCCGGTATGGGGCTTCTGAGGAGAGGGAAACCCGGGGACAGAGTGGGAGGGGGGAGGATGTGGGGAGAGGGGGACCTGGGGAGGGGGCAGTGGGGAGGCCGGCTGCAGGGCAGGGAAAACCTGGGTAGGAACTTCTGGGGAGAGGGGAAGCTGCGAGGAGAGGGCTTGCAGGGGGAAGGGTGTCTGTCTGATGGGTTAGACAGGAGCAGTGTTGTGTCCCTGTGTTCTGCCCTTCGCTAAAAGTATTAGGGTGGCCCTAATAGAGTAATGTCCTACCTCTCAATTATCCTTTCCTCCAGAGGCAACTTCCCATGGGCATATTTCTGGGCCCTTCTCCCTTTTTTTCTTTTTAGTACGCTTGTGCCCAGCAGTACATGTACAACGTGATTGTCACTCGCCATTCCCATGATATGTGAGATTAATGACAGCATACCGACATCCTCTTCCCAGCCCACACTGGGATGAGGCTCCCAAAGGGTTGTGTAACTTCAGTGCCAAAGGGGACTGTGGCTTCTGGGTATCTTGGTTTCCAGTTGGAATGGTTGGAGTAATAGATGTACCCTTTGCAAGGATCAAAGTTCATGAGGCAGCTTTTCTGGCAGTAAGGGTGATTATCTGAGGCTTTGAGATAGTTATTGAGGGGCCTTGCAAGTAAACTGAGGGCCTCATAAGTGAATTACCCTCCTGCCAGGTGTGGTTTGAATTTAAGATGTGTTTTATGTGTGGAATGGGAGAATGCCCTGTTGCTAGAGTCCCTTTCTCCAAGAGCTGTGATATCTTTCTAATTGCATTAGCTGTTGTTATGTTCTGTTATCTGTACCCAGAGATCCAGCAAGTGAAAGGCTGAATCATTTCTCACCTGCTGCCTGTTGAGGTTTGTGGAAGCTGAGTTTGTTTCCCTCTTCTCTTCTGTCCCCAGAGGCCTTAGTTATTAATGACCCTGACTTCCAGCATGAGGATTTGAACTTCCTGTCCCGCAGCCAGCGCTATGAGCAAGCCATCAGGAAGAGCTCTTTGATGGTGATGAAGTTAAGAGAATATGGAATTGCAGACCCAGAGGAGATCTACTGGTTTAAAAGGTACCTCGCTATGGAGTTTGCAGCTTGAATCATCATTAAGGGTGTTAGAGTTGGGCTTTTTTGCTGTGTTTGCTGTTTAAGGAAGCTCAAGACCTGTACAAAAGCCTCCTGAAGATTTGGCTTCAGTACATTGCCGCTGAAAAGCTGAATATTGTGTTATCTTAGATTTTTGACTAGAAATGCACCATTAATAATCGCACCCTGTTTATTATATATGGTGCAGAAAGTAAAAAATAGGACTCGTAGTCTGATCATTTTTTCTTTTCCAAAAAGAAATAAAAATTATACCAAAATATTTTGAATCTGGACAGATCTGATGAGGTTGCAGCTTCTAATGAAATCTCTTAAAACTGATTACTTCACTTTGCACTTAGACCTAATAAAGTTGCATTACAGGCATAGTTGAAAATGTGCCAGGATAGCTTATATGTTTTTTGTTTATAACTCTCTCTCCTATCTCCCTGCTTCAGGCTCCTGGTGCTGTAGTGGTTCCCTTTCACCTAGAGGCATTTTGTTGTATCTGACCTTTATCTGATACTATTACCCTTGGATTAAATTTATAAAACTGCCCTTAACATCCGAGTTTGATTCTTTGCAGCTTGCAGGGAACTTAGTTCCTGACTTTGATGTATTTCTCCCCTTAGTTCCGTTAAACTCATTCTCATATAATCAGACAGAAACTGCTTAACAGAGGGAGATTGCACAGCTCTAGACACATCTGGACATACCATGAATACTCTGGCACATTAAATGAGCATTGCAAATGAAATAATGCAGTGGTAGCATCACAAGCCCCCTCTGACTGGATTTGTGGGAAAGCTGTTGTTAGCCTCAGGGCATGAATATTGGGAGTAGCGAGCTGGAATCAAATTTGTCTGATGGAGTTTGAATTTCAAAGAACTTGGTCTGCACTGACCTGCTTCATGAAAGCTCTCATGGCAGTAATGGAAATGTCATTTGAAAACTGGCACTGGTGGACAGTGACAACAAGAAGGAAGTTCAGTGACTGCATTGGGTTATTCAGGTACTACGTGGCAGAAGTTAATCATTAGAATTTTTCCTATATGAGGATTATTGGAGGTGATAGGGAAGTTTTTTAGTTATTTGTATGGAGAAAACTCGGAGCAGCCTATCCAGCATGCCAGCTGGCAGACTTCACCAAAGCTTGCAATATCAGTGCTGTCTAATGGTAGCATTACTGACAATACTTTATGAAGACAGGACTTTCTGAAGTAGTCAAATGTTAGATTCTCCTTTTGTCCTTCCATAAACTTATTTAGAAGTCAGCAATTCTTAACATTAAATGGATGAAAGCTTAGTATTTCATATAGGTACCAAATATCACATCCAAGTGTTACGTGCTGTGAATAGTTAGGTGTGACTAGTCAGAGCTCGTGATCCAAAATCAGCTGAAACCATGAGGAAGGATTACTTCTTTCAGAGTCAATTCTAACTGTGGACATTGAGGATTTCAAGAGACAATTGCATTACTACAGGCTGCATTTTCCAGTATCTTCTGTAATAACACAAAGAATGAAGAGCAGCACGTACACTTCTTGCCTGCAAGTGGAATATGTTTGCTCTGAAAACTGTGTTCTGTTCATATTCCTGATTTCCTTACTTTAACACCTGGTGTTTGCAAGGGAGGCTGTTTGCTTTGTGCTGCATAGAAAAGGGAAGAAATGAATGGATTATTTTTCCATCCTTAGATTTCATTTCCATTTCAGTATCTGTCTCCACTTTCTCACCTGCTGACTGCCAAACACTTTAAGTTTAGTGAACCCCACCCAACTTGCAAAACTTTATTTGGGACTTTTTTTTATAAGGGCCTTTATTTGTGTGAAAGCTGACGTAGAGAAACTGGGGTTTTGTTTTTCTGAACTTGAAAATTGAATGGGTATAATGGACATACCTTAGACAAAGTTATTGAAATAGATGGAAGTCCTTGATTCACGTCTCAAGTTGTATTTATTGTGATTGACCATCAGATTTTTACATATGGAAGCTTAAGATATTTTGTCATCAATTCCCTGTGCCTTGGATTATCCCCAAACAGCAGGGACAGATTATTCACGTATGCATATTTCGAATTTTGAGCTTGTTGCTTTCCTGTGGCTTTTCCTGGAAGCCAGAGCTTCTCCAGGGAGCTTTGTGTTTGACTGACTGAGTTTATAGCTTAATTTATGAAGAGGAGAAATGCTTGTTCCTTCAACTGTCCTGGAGATGAACAGTTGTTGCTGCTGTGACATGCCCAACAGAAAGCTCCTCCTTCGTGTTTCCAGAGGGCTTTGCATTCCAAAATGTAAGAAGATCTATCAAATACAATGAAAAATCATTTTTATTGCTTTTTCAGCTAGTTCTTCATGTCTTAACATGTGGCAACACTGCAGTTGCTGCTGTGGCTACAGCTGTTGAAGGCCAGCAGCCTAGAAGTGCCAATAGTTAAGATTTTCTTCACAGTCTGGCTGCAGGAAAGTGTAAGTCAGTGTGGAAAATGGGAATTGTTCTGTGCCGCACAACTCTGAAGAGAGCAATCTTGTCAGTTTTAATTCACCTTCAAGTTTAACCTTCACTGAGGAAAAGGGGAGTAAATGAAGAAGAGAAAAACAGTTGGGAGAAACTGGGTCAGAGAAGATCCGAGAGCTGCAAATCAACAGATTATTCCTGTGTTCATAAGCATTGCATGAATGTGGACTTCCCCTGTGAGAATTTGAACTTCTTATTTTGAATCTAGTGTTAGGACCTGGAGTAGCTTTCAGCAAATCAAACCAGCAAAAGCGTAGTAGGGCCCTATTAACCACTGCTGAATTAATTTGGAGTTGGATGAGTCTTTTTGATACAGCTGGAAAAGGGATTTATTACCGTAATATCTATTAACACTGAAACCCTTCATGCTCTTCTTTGAGAGGGTTACCTCAAGAACCACAAAAAGCTAGAAGAGCTTGCTTCCAGATTGTGCTTAAAGTAAATGGCCTCATTCTGTGACCCAGTTCTGCAGCCTGAGAATCTTTGCAGTTGTTCATTTAGCTTTGGAGTCTCTGAAAACATAGACTTTGCTTCTGTTGTACTCTGTTTGCTGATAGATACACTGTCAACACTCACCTCTCCAATACAGTTGTCTTTTACTATGTGGGTGGTGTTGGCTGCAATGAAATCGATGAAGATCTGTTATTGATGAAGTAGTGTGTCCTTCTCCCATAAGTGGGTTTGGAGCTGCAGCCCTTCTCTTGACTTGCTGATTGTCATGACAAGTCTGACTTCAGACTGACAGGGCCATTGCTCATTGATCGAATGGCTCGTGCCACATTCAGTCCTGATGTAGCAAAGTCCTCGAACAGTTACACGATGCAGCTTTTGGGGAACAAGCTGTGGGAATGTAGAAATTGGAAGGAGTAATCATTTGAGAGAGGAAAAAGAAGGAAAGAAAACCTGTTGTTCCTCCCTTCACAGCAAATACCTCTTTTTGTTTGCCCTGAGTCACAAGGAAAATGGGATTCTCTCTGTCTTTCAAATTGTTAAAAGACACATTAAGGAAATCCTAAACATTCCATATGGAGTATGCAGAGATGAGAAGTTTCTGCTGTATATTAGCTTTCAGTTCTGCTTTAAGCCTCGTTAATGCAAGAATGCTGTGTGTTTAGTCAGTGAAATAGCATGACCTTCTGACACAGGGATGTTAAAGTATTCACTCCCAAAATGTCATTCTTCTTACTGCTATCAGAGAAGGTCCTAGTTAAGCATGAAACATCTGGCAGTTGTGATTAAGCATTAGTCATAGGCAATGACGGCTGCTGGTGGGACCTTCATGATTTTTCTGGAGTATTACCTTCAGAGCAGCAGTGTCTGACCTGCTTTCTCTGACAGCAAAGCATGTGCTGCACCTTTTTCACAAGTTGTTTCAATGGCTTTTGAAAACATGCAGAGAACTGCACAAGCTCTTCCCAAGCCTCCCTGAAGCAGTGTATTTCATAGTCAACACTTGGTTTCCCTCTGTGGGTTTATCCTTATTGGGCCCAAGGACTAGATATCAAGTAATTATGCTGTAAGCAGTGAGGAAGTGAAGGGTGCTTCTGTTGCTATATGGGTCTGAGAGTAAATAACCTGTGTAGGAAACCACAGAAATGCTGAAAAATACTCTTGTCGGGCTGTCCTTGTAGCATTTTTAAGGCCTTGGTCACCGTAAGTTTGACTTGGAACCATGTGCTCCTGTAGGCAACAGAATATTTTCTGGTAAGAACGCTGCTTTGATTGCAAACACTCTAGACACCAGCTTGAAGCACAGTTAATATCTTGAGAGCCAGCTTTAGATTGTATGATTGGTTTTGCTTCTGGAACAATCCATCACTTTTTCAGTCTTGTCTATTTGAAAACTGTTCCATTTAAAACGCGCATCTTCAGTATGCAATTCAGTGGAGCTTGAAGAAGCTTTGTCCTGCTTTCTCTTACCCTACGGCTGAGCTCCACAGCATGTGTAAGGGATGTGGTTTTGAATTAGTATGTGCTCTCTGCTCCCAAGCACTTATTCCAGTCCTGGTGTAAAATCCCAGTCACAAATGCTGCTGTAATTTGACAAACTGTGCATAGCATCTGCTATGTAATGTGGATCTGTGTTGGCAACAAGCTCTTTAATATGCTCCCTGAGCAGGTATTAGTACCTTGGGATGGAAGGATGTATCTTTGAGTAAGTGGGGAGTTCTGTTCCTGCAGGGCAGTCATATTTTTCCTTCTCCAGCTTAGAGTTAGGATGGAACACTTTTGTGTACAATAGATTGAAGGTGAAAAAGCTGTTCAGACTGCAGAATGTTGAAGGGAAGCTGTTATCATTTACTACACAGTTTCTACACAGTGAAACTTTCTAGTATGTTTGTGTTATGGAGCTGCTTGTAATTAGGAATGTACTTTGCCTGCCATTGTGGCAACTAAATTGCTAGAGTTCTCTCATGAAATAACTTCTATTTTGATGAGGCACACCTAAACTGTCTGACTTCCTTCCATCCCCTCCAGCACCAGCCTGTAACAGTAATTTTAATTGAAGGTGAGTTCTGTATTGGGTAGAAGCAGCTACATGGAACACAGCACTCTTCTGAGAAGACTTGGTCACCCAAGAAGCTTTTTCCTTTTCGATACGTAGTGCTTGTAGCTAATAATGGCCTAGTTTTAGGCTACCAGCAGCAGTGGGATTTATTCCCACCAAGCCTGAGAGGTGAGGGAGAAGATAACTTGATTTTCATGTCCTCAGTTTAGAGTTCGCCTTGAATCTTTCTAGATTTTTTTTTTTCCAGTTACACAGTAACAGCAGGATTCCTGGGTGAAGAAAATGCCTGAAAAAAAAACCCCATTTATTTCCCCATCAGCATTGCTTCTGAAGGGAGCTACAAGGATGCTGGGGAGTGACTCTTCATCAGGGACTGTAGTGATAGGAGAAGGGGTGATGATTTTAAACTGAAAGAGTTTCAATGAAGCAGGAAAGAGTTTCTGAAGCAGAAGTTCTTCCCTTTGAGGGTGCTGAGATGCTGGCACAGGGTGCCCAGAGAAGCTGTGGCTGCCCCATCTCCGGCAGTGCTCAAGGCCAGGTTGGACAGAGCTTTGGGTGACATAGTGTGAGTTGTCCCTGCCCATTGCAGGGGGTTGGAACTGGATGATCTTAAGGTCCTTTCCAGCCCAAACCATTCTATGATCCTGATGCCTCCTGATTTGGAGGCTGACTGTGGGACAAAAGAAGAGGTTGCAATAGGTAAAGAAATTATCTTATTGTAGGGTTGGCAAAAAGCCTTTCAGACTGAGCTCCAGATCCCTCTATTTCTCTCCTGTAGAACATGCTTGGGCAATTTTCCTGAACCTTTCGGTCTCCACTTCAGCATGTTTCAAAAAACCTTAGAGACCCAAACGACTGATGCTCAGAAGGAGAAATGGCTGCCCCTGGTCCATGGAGTCAAGATAATTGGCACCTACGCCCAAACCGAAATGGGACATGGTTAGTTCCCTGCAGGGATCAATGGGTAACCTCTGTTCTATAACTCCCTTTTGGAAATGGATGATGCTCCCTAGGTAAAGCTAAAAGGGGGAAAGTAAAATGGGTTGGTTAACTGTGGGTATTTCCTGTGTGGTAGGTAGACAGCTGCTTCATTTCACATCCTAACAATCACAGAGTTAATTTTGGTCTTTTCCAGAATGCACCTTTTAGCTGGTTACTGACTTTGTAGTTGTTTACTTTTGCTTTAAGGTGAGGAGGTGGTTCTGAGCTGTGGGAGTCTGAATTTCACTTGAACTGGTTTGGAACATGCTAGTCAGCAGTACTGTGGTTTTGATTTTTTGCCTGAATTTGGGTCACATATATCTTGGTTCTTAGTGCATGACTGCCCTGCTTAAACAGGTCAGAAGTACACCTTCAGATGCAGTACAGCATGGTGAGGTTGTACAGTTTTGGTTTTGAGAGTAAGATATGCTTTGCCCCAGGCACTTTTCTTCCAGATCCTACTTGATTGCTGCTGTACAACATCATGGAAAAATCTTGGTTTCAAAGAAGAAAAACATCTGATTCCTGCTGTTGTTGAAAATGACTCATTCTTCAACTGGAAGAACATTTAATGGATCAGAAAACAGTCTTTTAGCCCTGAACCTGGAATTATGGCTGTTAAATATGTGCAAGAGTAGTTCAGCAAAGCAAAGACTCCAGTGCTTGTGCTGGCATCTAAACTTGGAAAGTGGGATACGTACAAGTCTGGACAACTGCAGAAGTTAGCTGGTGATGCCAGTTGCTGTTCACTTACAGCTACTTGTGGTAGCCGAAATCTTTGTAAAAGAGGCAACAGAGGGAATCCTGAGTCTGTTCTGCTTGGGAGAGATGGAATGAGCAAACCTGGCTTAGCACCCGTAGCTGAGGCACACCTGGGTGGCACCAATAAAATCCTGTTGACCTTCTTTGCTTTATCACACCAACTTCTTTAAATCAGACACGCATTCACACCAAAGCGATTTGTTCTACTTGCTATTTCACATCAGATCATTGCACTTCTTTGCCTGGTGATGGTCTGGTTTGCTTATAGTTCATAGTTTTCATGTTGTTTGATGGTAAAATTAGTAGTTTGACACTTAATAGGGCTGATATGGTGATAGTGTGGTAAAGTCTCTCCATGCTGAATAATTCAAATGCAACTGTTTGGTATTCCTGTGGTGGATGTTGAGTATCTGAACTATTTTACTGGTAAAGCTGCTGCAGCAATTGTCACTGAGCTCTCCTTAATTTAATCCTGATAGTTAGAAACTGGTGATATGGAAACAGACCTCTGCATTATTGAGTTGAATCCTAGCCTGGATGGGTTACTCCGTTTTATCTTAGTGAACTGATTTTAATCCATAATGAATTCGTCTCTTGGAAAAAAACTAAAGAAAGAGAAAACACAAATAGCACAGGGCTGTAAAAGAAACCAAAAGGAGTATTGACACTACTGTACTGTTTCTACCTGGATCATAGCTTTTGCTAGTAAATAGGATTTTCTTTCAGTCATTGACTGTCAGCTGTGTACTTCTTACCAATACTGAACTCTGTTATTCCTGATAAGCCATTAGTTCTCTGTTGAGCTTGGTCTCTGCTCAGTCAGAAAGCTTAGGAAACATTGCTACTAGGTTTATTAGATGGTTGAATTTATTTGTAGGTGTCTGAGATATCAAAGGAAAACACTACAGTTCTTAGAAAGCAGTAGAGGTAGAGCTAGTTCCTGTTAATATGTGTTTAGAAGTAACATGAGGATGTGTTCTTCCCACTTTGCTAAGAATGTCAGCTGAGTTTGAGCTAAGTTCAGATCAGTGCTCTTTCCATAATGTACCTCTTATTTAAATCTGTGTGTTCCTGTTAGACCTATTTAATTATTTCATACATAAATGAACCAGTTGGACAACCTCTGTACAGGAGGTACTGATCCTCCATCTATATCCCTGCTCTTTTAATACTCAAACCTATCAATATTTAAAGGTTTAATATGCATTTAATTCTGTATATCAGAAAACCTTAATAGACCACTTACTAATAATGGTGTTTGACAGAGCTTGGAGGAAGAGTAGCTCTAATGGAGCATATTTAATTGGAGAGACTGTGCTGGTTGAAAAATGTTGGCTTTCTTGCCAAATTGTTTGTGTTCACAACTTTGATTTAACACTTGCAGAGCACTGTCCTTTTAAGAGAGCTTTTAAACATAGCTAAAGTTGAAGGCGTTGGAATTGAGTGTACTCTAATCGCACCTGATCTTTAAAAAAAAAAGAGAAGATAGGTAGCATAGACAGCTAGGACATGCCTTTTTAAAATAAGAAAAGCAAGCTCAGTTGAAACTTGGCTCACTCAGCTGGATAAACTGAGAGTTCTACCTCATTCTACCCTGAGGAAAAAGTGGACTTCATATCTTTCTTTATATCTATGAAGTGTGGTGCACCAAAAATACAGGAATGCTGCAAATGCATTTTATGTAGCATTAGCAGGAAATACTCTGCAGGATGTTTATTTCAAAGTAAGGGCAAGTTGTTCAGCTTGAGAAAGGACAGTGCTCTGGTTTCTGTAATACATTTGCTGAATTCTGATTTACACCTGAATCTTTCTTTTTTTCCTCTTTTTGTCTCTTCCTGAACCTCCACCATAATCCTCATGCTTGCTTCCTTCCCATAACATTCCCTTCACACTCCCGTCCCATGGCACTTCTTCACAGCTTTGTTCATCGTGGACGGCCTGAGCCTCTGGACCTTCATCTGGGCATGTTCCTCCCCACCCTTCTCACCCAGGCAACCCCAGAGCAGCAGGATCGCTTCTTCATGCCTGCCTGGAACCTGGAGATCATTGGCACTTATGCCCAGACTGAAATGGGCCATGGTACAGTACATTCACTAAATGCTCTTTCTAAGAATGGTTTGTGTTCAAAGGAGTCCCCTGCCTGGGAAAAATGGTGTGTGTTTCCCCCCTCTTCACATGTGCAGCTGGGGCTGTAGGGAAAAGTGGACTGCTGGATTTTTTAATGGATCATTGTGCCACATGCTGTTTGTCTTTTTATTTCCTAGGGGAGAGTTTAGTGTCTGTAGCTCTGTAGATGAGCATACTGAATGCTCCTGTTGTGCCATTCAAACCAGTATAGACTATCACATGTGGCTGTGGTGATGTCAGTTTGATGACATCTGTTCATTTCTACACTTACCATTCTTTCCAGTGTGATTTCTGTTTTTCTCTGCTTAATAGTTGGTGTGAAGACAAAAGAACAGAGCTTTAAGGTACTGAAACAGATGCTAAAAAGAAAGGCATTGAGTTGCTTGTCACCCTGGGACTGACCTTGGACCAGAGAACATGTGGATGACTTGGTTCCAAAGCTCATGTTTTGTGGGGAGCTTTATTCACCCAGTTCTTTAGTTCACTCCCATGTGTTCTTTTTAATTGGACCACAACATGTTTTTTTAATTGTCTGTCTCAAGTAGACTTTGTTCTCTACTGCTTTTCCTTTGCTTTCAAGCTTGAAGTGGATTTTGATAACTCCAGCAGTATTGTGATTGCAACACTTTTAATGCAAGTTTCAAAGGGATGATATTATGCTTTGGGGACCTTGATTTTTGACATCTGAGAGTTGCAGATGAGAATCATTTTCTAAAAACGAGCAGGATTCATCTTTGTGCTGAAGTGAAATGTAGAGACTGAATGAAGCACAAATTAACTGCAAGCCTGTGGAGAATGTCCTGCAACTTAGTGAGGTTTGAAGATCCTTTACCAGCAAAGTAAGGCTATATTAAACTGCCTGTGGAAGTCTACCATGAACTCCATGCTTTGGAAATGTGGTTGCATCAAGGTGATAAAATTTTTATGTTGAAGCTTTCATGTAGAGTCACTAGCTCTATCAGTCCATACTCAGGAGTGTTCACAGCTTTCTAGTTCAAGCAAGTAGGCCCAGTGATTTTGGATTTACATGTGTAGGAGCAATGCCACTGCTGAGGCAGGTGTGTGTGAAGTGTAAGGAGTTGGGAGTAGAAGACAAAGACGTTTCCTGGATTGGTTACCTTCATCTTTTTGCAGTGTCTTCATCTACCTGCATCAGTATCCTAGCATATTCATGCTATATGTGCTGTCTTGGAGCTATGGATGATCTTGTTTAGGAGAAACTGCTCCATCAAGTGAGGAGAATGTAGCCTGATGAGGGAAGGAAGAGATGAGGGGTGATAATTCTTTCGTCTTGTGCCTGAAATGTAGATGATTTTTGTTTTGCTATTTAATCAAATTGCAGTTCTAGTGACATCCAGGTGAGCATGTTTTCTTGGACCTTTTGAACTGAGCTTCTGGGGTGTGAGAGAAAAAAGGTGTCAGTTTGGAGGTGCTTGGAAAACTTGTCTTAGACCACTGGGGGAAAAAAAAACCAACAAGGACATATTTTCTGAGAATTAGCTTCAGGTCCCAGAATATGGTCTGACTCTCACTTGTTCTTCCTGAATTGGTTGATAATTAATCCTTTATGTAGCCTAAAACAAAACTTCAAATTTGTACATTACTACTGGAGTTCAACTTCCATTTGTCCAGTTCTGTCCTTGTCTCTCTTGTGACTGACTTTCTGCCAAAACATTGTGTTTTGCTTATTTTTAGGAACTCATCTTCGGGGTCTAGAAACTACAGCTACTTATGACCCTGCTACCCAGGAATTCATCCTCAACAGCCCCACTGTGACTTCCATTAAGTGGTGGCCTGGTGGACGTAAGTGCATCTCTGTGTGCCTAAATCTGGAATATGTATGGCAGAGCTTAGGGAGGTGATGTCCTGCCTGTTCTGTCTACAGGATGGTGGCTGAAAGACAATCCAAAGAGTTGGGTGAAAGGCAGTTCCTCTTGCGCAACAAATAACAGACTTGGCAGAGCCTACTAAAACCTTGCATTGTCTGTGTGCTCTGATTTGTTTCTCAGAATCATTCACACTCCATGGATTTGGTGTAATTTTTGACTGGTTGTATCAGAGTTTAGACTTCCTTCGGCTTCACTGACAGGTTTGCCAAGGACTTGGTATTGTATAGTCAAGAGAATCATATTGTGCAGCTTTCATTGACTTGAGCAACTTTTTCTAGCTGTAAAATTCGGCTGATAACTGATGTTGTAAATCCAGTTCTCTAATGCATGACATGCTTAAGGTAATCTTAGATCCTGCTTTAAAGAATGACACTCTATGTATGGGATTATGTTTGTTTTTTTCCTTCTGACTCCCACTCCTTTTGCAGTTGGAAAGACATCAAACCATGCCATCGTTCTGGCTCAGCTCTACACCCAGGGCCAGTGCAAAGGGCTGCATGCCTTCATTGTTCCCATACGGCAGCTGGGCACCCACGAACCTTTGCCAGGTAAAACTTAAGGAATATACCTGGAATATGATAGATGTATTCCTCTCCACCTATATACAGCTCTGTGTATCTTCTTGATGTATGTGGCTTCTTTCAGCAGCTGATTTCAGTAATGGTTGGTAGGTCACAAGGCTTAAAGGAGTCTTTCTTATGACTGAACTACCACCGAGTCATTTTTCATCTCGGGCTTTCAATGGGAAGGTTAGTTTGGAATTTGATCCCAGTGTTTCCCAGATCTGCATTCTGTGAGGCAGCATGTCCCACTTTCTGAAAGGGAAAGAGTAACTTTCATCATCGTCTAGCTAGAGGTGAGCTGTGGATGATCTTCAGAAGTAACTGCCCCAGTAGGAGGACTGCACATATGAAGATCCCCATGTTTTGATGTCCACTTGTTGTGGTTCAACCTGGCAGCAGCTAAACACCACACAGCCATTCCCTCATAGAATTGGAAAAACATAATACTTGTAGGTTGGGATAAAAACAGTTTAATAGGACAGAAAAGGAAGAGGAAAATAACACTAATAATAATGATAAAAGAATATAGAAAGCAAGTGATGCACAGTGCAGTTTCTCACCTCCTGCTGGCTCATCCCAGCCAGTCCCTGACAGCAGCCACCACCACTGGTCAGCTCCACCAGGTTTTATTGTTCAGTGTGACTCCATATGATCTGGAATCACCCTTTGGCCAGTCAAGGTCACCTGTCCTGGCTGTGTCCCCTCCCAGCTTGTTGTGCACCCCCAGCCTGCCTGCTGGCAGGGCAGTGTGAGTAGCTGACAAGTCCTTGACTTGGTGTAAGCACAGTTCAGCAACAGCCAGAACTCCAGTGTGCTGTCAGCATTGTTCTCATCCTGAATCCAAAACACAGCGCTGCACCAGCTACTAGAAAATTAACTCTGCCCCAGCCAAAATCAGGACAATGCTTTCTCATCAAAGAGATGAATGTCCTTGTTGGCTGTGACTTCTAAAAATCCCAGGACTGGCTATAAAACCAAAGTCTCTTTACTGGAGAAAGCTCGAACCTCTCGTGTGATGTTTAGTTCCCATTTCCTAACATGGCTTTGTCTGTGGCAGGTATTACAGTGGGTGACATAGGGCCAAAATTTGGTTATGATGAAATGGATAATGGCTACCTGAAAATGGACAACTTCAGAATTCCTCGGGAAAACATGCTGATGAAGTATGCCCAGGTAAACCAGTGCATTCCAGCGTATGCTGTTAGAAATGGACACTTCAAATGCTCTTGTGTGGTTGAATTGTGTACCAAAAAGATTGTAGGTTGCTTCTAAGTGCTACTTGGTGAGTTTAGAACTTGACATGTGAACATGTAAAAGGGAGGACACTTTAGAAACCAATAGGCTGTGGTTTGTTTCTTTTTTCTTGGTAGGTTGAACCAGATGGCACCTATGTGAAGCCACTCAGTGACAAGCTAACCTATGGGACCATGGTGTTCATCCGGTCGCTCATTGTAGGTGATTCTGCTCGCTCACTGTCTCGGGCCTGTACCATTGCCATCCGCTACAGCGCAGTGAGACACCAGTCTGAGTTGAAGCCAGGGTGAGTGCAGTGAAATAAGAGTGGCCTTAAGTGCTGAGAGAAAAACCTCAAGTACTGGGGGGAAGAAGGACTATGGCTGATGTTTGTTGTAGCACTTGAAAGTTTCAGAACACTTTCATCTTTCATTCTTGACAAGTGTCTTCCCCCTGCCAGAGGCTTTACTGTAGAGTCTTAGATAGTCTGGCTTGATATGGCTGCAGCTTGGACTCTAGAACCTACTGAGAGTTGACTAGGGATTCTGCAGCAGTTTGTTAGTCATGGGCACACTAACTCATCTGTATTTTGCTCTAGCGAACCTGAGCCCCAGATCTTGGATTATCAGACCCAGCAATACAAACTCTTTCCTCTCCTGGCAACAGCATATGCTTTTCATTTTGTGGGAGCCTACATAAAAGACACCTATCGTCGTATTAGTGGAGACATCAATGAAGGGGATCTGAGTGAGCTGCCAGAGGTACTGTGTCCTCTGCAATCAGAGGGGTGGTTTTGGATCTTACCTAAGGTTTCTTTGTAGCATGGAAAAAAAAGGTCTCAAGCCTTTATGGCTTTCACTCCTGAGATGACTTGTACTGCTTGAGATTGGGAGATCCCAAGCCCAGTATGTGCTTGTGACTTCTTTATTTGCACTATTCATTTAGCAGCCTTTTATTAAAAAAAAAAAAAAGAATTAATGCACAATGAGAAAGCTACTGTGACTATATTCTTTTAAAAGGTGACTTTCAGGAATGATTGCATATTGCTTGAGAGCAGAGTTAAGACTGGTCTTAGGCTTGTCCTGTAGCTCCTTGATTGTCCTTCCAGGTGACTAGAGTGTTGATCAAAGTTATCAGTACTATACTGAAGGGTTAGGGTTGTATAATGGTACTTTTCAGTTAGGGATTCTGTCTGAGATCCTAATGTAACAACAGGCAGTTGAAGAGAGTTTTGTACATACAATGCGTAGAGACAGAAAGGATGGGCTACTCAAAAGAAGTCTTTAGATGTACAGAGGTATTCATAAACTCTTCCTCAGAGAAGAGTTCTTAGAAGATGAATCAGAACCTGTGGGACAGTGGAAGGATGGTGTTGACTCTGGTTTTTCTGGGAGCCACAGTACTGGGCATGTGGGCAAGCTAAAACTGGAAAATAAATATCTAAACTGGCTTTGCTTTTGTCCATCAGCTCCATGCACTGACAGCAGGGCTGAAGGCGTTCACTTCCTGGACTGCCAATGCTGGTATTGAGGAATGTCGGATGGCGTGTGGTGGGCATGGCTACTCTCGCTGCAGCGGCATTCCTGACATCTATGTCACGTTCACCCCATCCTGCACCTATGAGGGAGAAAATACAGTCATGATGCTGCAGACAGCTAGGTATGATAGCTCTGTCCAGAGGCGTTCTTGCCTTGACATTATGCTCTTGGAAGTGATGAGTAGAAGAGTATCCCATTTTACCTTGAAACTCTTCTCTCCTGTTTCTGTCCCTTGCCCTGTTTTTGACAGAAAATAAGCCTGCAGCTGTTCCTCGCTAGTCTGAGCCTACGTAAACTGACTTCATTCAAATGACTCCTGTGTAAGAGTTGCTGTTTGTCTCTATTTCCAGATTCCTTGTCAAAAGCTACACCCAAGTTAGTTCTGGGCAGCGGGTTACTGGCATGGTGTCCTACCTTAATGATCTCTCCAGGCAACGTATCCAGCCACAGCATGTGGCTGCCAGGACTGTGACTGTGCGTCTTAATGATCCAGTCAGCTTGGTAGAGGCCTACAAAGCACGTGCTGCCTGGTGAGTTCACGCTTCCCAGGCTGAGCCAAGCACCAGTCAAACTGTGTGTCTCAGGAGGGGATGGTGATGCGCTGCCCTGTCAGTGTTGTGGTTTGCAAAGCTTTGCTCCATGTGTTGCTGTCAGGTAGTGACAGGCTTTACCAGATTAGGGTCAGTGTCAAGTGGTTTTTGAGGTTAAAGAGGCTCCTTAGCCCCTCTGTTCTCTGTCCCATTTTGAAGTATCTCTTATTTGCATGTAAAGTATATTTACGCATACAAATTTAAACTGCTGAGAGATCTGGAGAGAAACAATCCTGATACTAAAGCCTGTTGTGAAGGAAGTGTGAGAGTAGGACAGATGCCTACATGGAGTAGGTATTCAGGCAGCACAGATGTGCTATCCAATGTCCTCTTACCCTCTAGCTGTGTTCTAGCTGCAGGAGTGATGACTGGTGATTTAGAGCCACAACTTTTCACTCAGTTTATTCAGTTGTGGCACATGATCTCAGAGTAGTTCAGATGTGTTAGACTGAAATTCATGTGAATACAGTGTATGTAATCCTGTTACTGTAGTGTTACTGTGTAATCTGGTTTTCTTCCTTTTATGAAACAGGCTTGTAGAAGCTGCAGCAAAGAATTTAGAAGCTGAACTGAACCACAGGAGGAGCAAGGAGGATGCCTGGAATAAAACTTCTGTTGATCTTGTGCAAGCATCTGAGGTGAATGATGTGTCTGATAAAGGAAAGCGCTAGAAGAACTTCTCACCTCTTCATGAACCTGACCCACTTTCCTTTTTGTTTCTTGTAGGCACACTGTCACTATGTGATAGTGAAGCTTTTCACAGCAAAGCTGGCTGAGATCAGTAATGCAGCAGTCCGTGCTGTCCTGACTGAGCTGTGTCTCCTGTATGCTCTCTGTGGAATCAGCAAGAACACAGGGGACTTCCTGCAGGTTGGTGCCTTCCTCCAACACTAAATCTTTTAGAGCCAGACTCATTGTTTGCAAAGATGCTTTAAATGTGGAGTTGCACGAGTGCTTAGGGCTAAGTTCTGTTGACTTCCAGAAGGCCATTAGCAGTGCAGGTCTAATGGAAGGCTGTTATCAAGTTTTAATGGCGATCTGCTACAGAAGCAGAGTGGGATGATAAATGGTAACGTGGCATCAGTCTAGGTTTGCTTGAGTGTTTTGCAGTTGGTGACCAGGTGCTGTATGTTCGAAACCAAGGAGTCAGTAGAGGAGATGCATGTTAGACTTCAGTGAACGGGTTTATATTACCAAGTGTTACTTCATTCTCTCTGAGAATTGTGTTTTTGCAGCACTGTTTTACTTTGTCTTCAGGCAGGCACAATATTTTGTCTCCCCATTTTCCTCTTTGCTGCTTTTAGTTCCCTGAAACCAGGCTGAACTTAATATACACTTATGCATACTCTTCAGGACGCTTGCTACTGAAGTAAGTTCAGGCACTCTAAAGAATGAGTCTTCTACCCAGGGTTAAATAGCTGGGCAGTGTGGTGGGTTATGGTAGGCAGCTCCTTTTGCTTGTGCACAATGGCAAATTTGATTACTTAGAACTTGGGAAAGAACACCAAAATCCACTGTTCTGTGAACTGCTGCGTTTGGGGGAAAGGCTGACCTGTGTTAGAACACAGGAGGGGAGGGTTCTTGTGGCCTGGATTCTCTTCTGCTAATCTCTAGTTTTCACCCCCCAAGGCGGGTATCTTGACTGATGCCCAAGTTACTCAAGTGAAGCAGCATGTGAAAGAGCTCTTGGCTGTGATTCGTCCCAATGCTGTGGCCCTGGTGGACTCCTTTGACTTTCATGACAGTCACCTGGGATCGGTGCTTGGCCGCTACGATGGCAATGTCTATGAGAACATGTTTGAGTGGGCAAAGAAATCCCCACTGAACAAAACAGAGGTAAAGAAACCTTACTTCTTTGTCGCAGGCCACGTGTGCCTAGAGAAATAACTCACTTTAGAGTTCTCTGCTGAGACCATTGGATCAAAATGAATTGATGAAGCGGGGAGAAAAGTCACTGGTGGTAATAGACCAAAATTAGCAACCTGGCTTCTGCTCCTCTGCTTTGAGTATACTTAGTTCCTCTCCTTTGTGTACTTCACATGCACCCTGTGGGACACTTCAGAGTTTCTCACTTAAGAGGGAGGAAATCATATGTTCCACAGGGAAACAATGGAGTCATCTCATGGAATTTAAAAGCAGTTATCACTTGCTGTTAATTCTGCTTAGTGACTGGAGCTGTGAAAGTCCTACCTACTTCCTGGCAATTCTGCCAGTGCCTTCAGGCAATAGTAAAGACTGGAGAAGAAGATAAATTGCTCCTCTGTAGTACTTCAGTGTCAGGTGTTTCATGTCTGCATCTGAGCTAATAAAATGAACTGAGCTAGGAAGAGGCAGTGTCCTTCTTCCATCAGCAAAGCAGAATTCTAAATCTTGTCTCAATGGCCTTTGCTGCCTTTATCTGATTTGGACAGACTGTATCTCCTATGGTGGGCTGCCAGAGACTGCAGCTGTAGTTGAATCCCAGCAGAACTTGCTCCATTTTATTGAGTTCCTGAAGTCAGTGGCACTTAGGAGCTTCTTTAGCACCCTAGGAGACCTCTCCCATTTGTATTTTAATTCAAAAGCCACATGGTCTGTATGGATGCGAGATACCTTGCATTCTTTTCTTACAAGAAAGGTACTGGGGTGGCTCTTTTCTTGGGGAGGATCTTTATATGACGTGCTTTGTGTCACACAGACACTCAAATACAGGAGTTAGCTGGCTGATCTTGCACCTCCATTGTGCCTCTGATTCGGATGTCCTTGGTATAAAACCCCACTGCAAGATGAGAGGAGCTCAAATGGTTTAAAGATGAGGCCTGATCTGCTTGTAACCACTGTCTCCTCTTACAGGTTCATGAGTCTTTCCACAAACACCTGAAGCCAATGCAAGCCAAGCTGTGAAACCTGCTGTTTTTTTTCCTGAGCTGAACACTGTGTCCTTCCTTCAGGCACCTAAATCAAAGCTCTCAAACCCTGGTAGCTGTAGGACAGTGAAGAACTGTAGCCTTTCTTTCCACTTTTCTAAGTCGAGGAGGTGTTTGGGGAGAGTGCATAGGGATGGATGCCTGTTTTTAAAGTGCAATTCTAATGGTAAGATTAACCTTTTAGAAATCTGGGAAAGCTTTATCTATTCACACAAGGGTTGCTTTTGTGAAGCTGCTAACTGGAGACAAGTTGCTGTCAACTGGAAAGGTGGCAGGATTTTACTACTAGGTAGTCAAGAGCCCTCAGGCCATGGCTTCTAAAGAGCAGTTCTGTCCTCCCCAAAAAAGCATCAATGTCTTGATTTTGGTTTTATTTTTAAGATTGGCACCAGCTCTCTCCTTGTTTGGCAAATATTTATGCTCCCTAAAGCCTCCTGCATAGCTTTGTGCACATCAGTCTGCATGGGCACTCCTTTCCTGATGTAGCTGGGAAGGAAATGCTCATCCTCCCCTGGAGCTCTGCTTCCTTCATCCTTCCAGAAAACATCCTCATGTTTTCCAGTGCATCCTTTCACTGCCCTGCAGCAACAACTTTTGCTGTGTGCCTTCTCCATCGCTGGCCCCAGACTCTTAGTGTGAAGGCAAAGGAGGATATAGTGATGCTGCTCGGAGGGGGAAAAAAAGAAACGTTGTCGTAGTAAGCAGTAGGTGCTGCTAAGAGATATTTCGCCCTTCCTCTACCTTAGAGTTTTCATGGCACTCTCTCAAAGCACTTTACAAATGTTACGCAATGGAGATTTGATGTGAAAAACTACGCGGAGTGCTAGAAACTGCAGATTTGACCTGGAATGATGAAGCCAGTATCTGAGAGCAGAACTCAGTTGACCAAGGTCCTTGGTTCCTCAGGGAGGTCCTTCTGGTTTTTAAAGACATTCTTGAAGAAATCGACAATCCCAAGTGTCCAGTTTTTCCTGCCTGTGCATTTCCAAGGAGCTTTTTATGATTTGCTTAATTTTAGTTTTATATTGACTTGGGCTTTGGGCAGTGCTGTCTGGATTTAATGGGACAAAGACTGAACTTGTAACAGAACCTCCTGATGCCCTGGGATGTCAGTGCAACTGCCACTGTGCAAACTCATTGCTATTCCTCAACACCACTAACTCTGTCCAGTAACAATAAAAGCTCTCTTCATGCAGAGAAGAGCATCTCTGAGCTTCAACTGGTAAAAAGCTTTCAGTTTAGACCTAAATCCTGGAGTTGTGAGGAGCTGGTGCTCTGACAGCTTTGGTATCTGCTAGTCTCTCGTTTTGGATCAGTTTTTGGGATGATTTTTTCCTGGCACTAACAATGATCAGACCCAATGTTTGCCTCCACCTGCAGTAGGTGGACAGAAAGAGATCTTAAATAAAATGATTAAACTTGCCTTTTGGCTGCAGAGTCTTTCAGATTGAATGGATACCAGAGGAGGCAAAGGGGCCTTGCCTTCTGTTCAGTTGATAGACCTGTGGAGAGGTGATGGAGGAGCAGGTTAAAATTATATTGCTGGGAAGAGTACTGAGGAGGTATGTACAGATTTAATAAACTGTTTTCAGACAAAATGTGTCTATTTCGTGCACTGCCTTCAGGATCTCACGTCAAGTAG